GAGAGAGAGATGGTTGGAGATAATAGTTGACGAAAGGAATGAAGATCAAACTTTTGTCGTAACTAGCAGCTAGGTTTGGACATGGGATGGTTCGAACCACTGTCGAAGCCGGTCCGGCCCACACTAGCCAGGCCCAAACTGGCTGATACTGGACGTGGGTCATGGGTCCGGTCGGGTTTTGAGCCAGACCCGAGTTAATCATGAATGTTTATTTTTTTTAACATTAATGGTTAACATATCTTTTTCTCTTGTATTTGCAATTTAAATTTAAACTAAAAGAAAGTTATTTACTTCTCTTAGATGTAGGTCTTCCTCTGTAGTTCGAACCATGTATGTCTCTATGTTTGCGATGTTTTTCTGTGTGATGTTTATCTTCGTGCAAAATGCACAGACATATCATTTTAGATAAAGAGTTTGAAATAGGAAAAATAAATTAATATAATTTTATAAATATAAATACACATTTAATATATTTTAAATAGGACAAAATTGAACAAGACAACCATGGGCCGACCCACGACCCGCGGGCCGTGGGTCAGTTTCGGCCTGTTCCGGCCTTAGGCAGGTCATGGACCGGGTTAGGATCGGTCCCAGACCTGGGATCAGAGAGGCAAGCCTGGCCCACTCTGACCCACATGGGCTTGAGTCAGACCTAGCCTAGCCTTGAACCCGGTGGACCCACATGCCTAAACTGGCCCGACCCACGCCCATGCCCACTAGCAGCAAGTTGTTTGACTATATCTATTGGCCTAAATAGAGTATAATTGACAGTTTATCCAAAAATTACTTTTACTTCTTGATAGCTCACCAGTAGTCATCACTATGCCATCATACTTAAACTATTAGGCATGTAAAAGAGGACTCTACAGTTCATTTCAGTGCCAGGCATGAGGATTGATATGCATGAGGCATATGCAGAAGACACAAACAAGATGGGAAAAGATTGAACCATCATGTTGACAGGTTATGATTGTATTAGACAACAAGAATTACAGTTCACATGAAATGGCTTTCATGAATATAAGCTAAGGAAAATAACAGCTTGGGTAAATTGAGAGAAACATAGTGTCATGGTCCAGACTCCAAAGAATGGGAACTCTGAGAGAGGATGCGTGTTTCCTTAACACTATCTTCTACAATTCAGTCATACAATTTAGGGTTACTGCAGATAGATCTGCCGTACTACTGCAACCTGCCGTACTATCGCCCAATTGTGGATAAAACCCCTGTAGTTCTATGTTTTAGATAGACCCACTGAATTCTTTTGATTCTTTTACCCCAAGCGAAGAAGAAAATTGTTGGGTTAATTTCATTTCAGGGGGTGTTTCACATAACCCCTTGAACTTTGTTTATTTCACATAACCACCCTGAACATTGGGGTGTCTCACAAACCCCCCCTGAACTTCAAACTTTTCTCACCAGACCACTACATGTAATTTGCAAAAAAAACTAAAATTTCCTTGAGAGAAAAACCCAAAATTCAGGATACAGGAAATGTTACCTGTAAATGACGAATGACAAATTTTGGAATTTTTCCTACATGGATATTTATTTGTAAATTATATGTAGGTGGTCTGGTGAGAAAAGATTGAAATTCAGGTGGGGTTCTCTAAGACGCTTCAAGGTTCAAGGTGGTTTACGTGAGATAAACAAAATTTAGGAGGGTTATGCACAACAACCCCCAAAGTTCAGGGGGATTATGTGAAATTAACCCACATTGTTTTTTGACAAATAGACTCACGAGGGTAAAAGAGTGAAATTTTTTCACTCAGGGGGTCTAAATGCAATAATGGAATCACAGGGGTTCTAAATAATACAAGGGGCCCATCCAAACTTAATCCTATAATTTAATAAGAAACAGTTATGTTACACAAATAAATGGGTTTTCTGGCATACAGGTGAAAATCTGAACATCACACTTGGACATGCTTGAGCAAAAAAGACTGCATCAAAATGTTAAGGCTTTATATATAATGAGTTAGTGACAATGAGCCAATGAAGGCACTACTTCAACTTATTAACACGGTTAGTGATGATAGGGTGATGGTTGTTGTTGGTCAGTGTGCGACATGCATACTTAGCTTTGCACAAAGGAAAAAAGAGAAAAAAAGAAAAAAGAAAAAAAGAAAAAAGAAAAAAAGAAAAAAAGAAAAAAAAGAGAGTTAATGACAATGATGCTGTCCAAGCCTCCCATAATAGTATATAGAGAATCTTAACATCAATGTCAAAACATAACAAGAAAGGTTACTTTACTAAAGTAGTTTACGTTGGTGATTTGAGAGTTAAAAGAGTCATAGTTGTCATGCATTTATCTATTTCTTCATCAAAAGAGGGGAAAATATAAGTGTACAAGCACAGGTGGGTAAATATAAAGGAAATACTTTGGGATAGTTAAATTGGTTAACTTGTATACCTGCAAAGCCAACATAATCCACCCGCTTTAAACTGTCCATTGAAATGATCCTTCGAATTCACACCCGTTCCTTCACATTGTGTACACTGTTTTGCACCTGTTTATTGAGAATAAAAGTTCAATTCTTCCCCTTGACAAAAGCTTAATAACCACTGTAGAAACACAGCTCGATGCACGGGCAAATAATAGTTTGGTTAATTGAAATTACATGGGAGAGGAAAATGAATGTGTGACATACACTTAATCAGGAAAACACATCATTTTATCAGGATAAACTAAATGTATTAAATGACTATCAGACACTTGGAGTTAGTTAATATACAATTTCAAAACGGAATAACTGGAAATTAGTTCTTTGCTTTGTTTCCACAAATAATAAACATGTTTATTTACAAAAGGTAACCCAAAAAAAAATCCCAGCATCTTATTTACTGGCAGATTTCACCTGATTATTATTGACTGCCAGATTTCACTTGATTATAAGCCTGAAGAAAGATTGAATCCTGGTATCTTATTTACAAATGTACTTCACCTGATTCTAAGCCTTGGATTGCTTTATGAGAAAGAGTATTATTAAGCAGGGTATAAATGTGAGGGAAAAAACAAAAAGGAGATAAGCAGGATATAAATGTGAGGGGAAAAAAAAGGAGATATGCACACACATATGGGGAATTATTACCATTTCTCAAAGAGAAAACCTAATGCAAGAACGAAAGAATATCCCAATCTTGGACTTTATATGCAATGGCAGATGGAGAAATTGAGAACACAACTAACCACCACCACCACCTCCATTATCATCAGAATAAGGATATAGAGATGCACGACTTGGAAATTGAAAGAGCTCAGAAAAAGAAATTAACTAAGTTCTATGACCAGCTGTCACCATGATGTTTACACTCTATGGGTAGTTCCTAATTAACCAAGAAACACATTATCATGTGAGAGCTCTGACATTAAACCTCAAGGCAAAGTAGTAGGTCATGCAGTTTAAGCTCATGTTACCAACAAAAAAGCTTTCAGATTATCCTAGACTGAGAAAAAGTCTAGACTCAGAGAAAAGATAAGATTTGCCAGAGAACCATTAATTACATGATACATTGGCTAAGTAAGGCAGAACTTCACTAGTAAAACATTCATCTAATACCTTTAAGCTACAAGGAACTGTCATGCCCCGTGCCCGCAAGCCCGTTGACACGCTATAAGCACTGAGTGCAACTCATTGTTTGGCTTGATCCACTGCCAAAAGTGTTAGCACTGGTTGCACTTGAATCTTTAAACTTACATCATAAACCATTCAATCTCTCAATCAGTATTTGATGGGGGACTATTTTTTGTGGGTATTACAATCACCCCACCTTAAATATGCGATGTCCCTGTCGCGGCATTACAATTACTTCATCCCAATATCAACCACTAGGTGATGTGGACTCTAGAGGTGGCTACCACCGCGCTCACACGAATAGCACTTAATCTCACATAGCAACTTAGCTCTAACATTTTTCCTCTGATACCATTTGTCACGGCTTAGGCCCGTGAGCCTGTTGATGTGCTATAAGTTGTAGGATCTTGTAGGATCCAATGAATGTATTGTTTAGCTTGATCCATTGCCAAAAGTGCTAGCACTAGTTGCACCCGACTCCTTAAACTTACATTATAAACCATTTAATCTCTCAATCAATATCATGTATGGGACTATTTTTAGGGGTTTTTGGGTATTACAGGAACAATTCTTAACCCTACCATGTATGACTTATTCAAGGAAAAAAAAAAATACACTATCGGTTCTTGACAATTAACTACCCTAACCTTAGCATTTCTAAGTAGAACATAGCACAGAAGAAGTAGAAGCCTAAATGGAGCGATACCCTGATTACGAATCTAACGAAATGCCCCACGGGCATATTGAAATAGTATCATATTTCAGTCTGATCAAAATTATTGAGATCTGCCAGAATATTTGAAGTATAACATTTTTCAAAGAAAACTTTATGCATACCCATCAGATTTGATACCATATCATATGGTCACTTATCTATACATAAGAACTTAAAATATAAAACTAATTTTTGCACACTTAAATTATATGTGCAGTAATAATAAATATAATGATTACATATTAAACATGAGCAAAGAGAATATTAAACATATAGATGCGACATATCCACAGAATCTCTGTTTATAAGGAGTGGATAACGAAATACCTAGATTGTACTCCAATATTTATTAACACTATATATATTCACTTAAACACATTTAGACACAACAGGTCCGAATATTTCGAATATCCATATAACTCCTATTATTATGGGAATACCTAATCACCTAATAAAACTGAGTTGCAAACGTTTGACACAATTTTATAATCCATCCCCAATATTATTGTACAGTTTATGTTGGGAAAAGTGGGATGATTAAATGACTTCCCCTTCCTTAGTAAATATAATAGATTAATAAGAAAAATAACAATTAAAAGACCGAAAGAAATAATCAGCAGAAGACCAAAGACCAATATGTTTAACATTGAAAACCCTTCAACCGAAGGTGAAAACCATGGGACTTAGTCCATATAAATCTTCCACTATTAATTCAATGGGTACACAGTTTTGTCCCTAGACACATGCAAGACACACCAACAAAAATAGGAAAGATTAGAGAACTTCTACTACGCCTGAGGAGGAACACAAAAAATTGTGGAAACCACTCTCTCTTCCTACCACTCAAACTCTTTGTGCTTAGAGCTTTGTTGTTTTGCTTGGTCCACCTTCAACTGTAGGAAGTGAAGGCCTATTTATATGAAAAGACTTCAATGGGAAAACAAACATATCTCGTGAAAACTAGTGGGGTACAACTTAGAGGCGTCTTATAGCTCACCATTTATATGTGGCCTTATCCCCTCACATGGAAGGGACCCAACAATTCTCCCACTCTCAACTATTTGGAGAGGTCCACCCCTACTAGCTTAATAGTACATACTATTCTAGCTAGGATCGATAGAGTGCTCTAACTGTCATAATATATGTACTCATCTTGTTTCAAACTCAACTCCTGGAGAAATCTTTCCATCTAGAACATTTCTTAACATGCTTCTGCAATTGTGAAATACTATGCTTCTATCTCAGATGAAACAACACACTACTGCAGCTTGGACTGCCATGATACAACCTCCTTGCAAAAGTAAATAAGTATCTAGATGTAGATTTTTGGTTTGAGATCACTTGCCATGTCCACATCTATATAATCTTCCAGAATTGGTTTTGGAATTTCCAAATGTCAACCGCAACCTTAAATTGCCCTTCAAATATCTAAGAATCCACTTCACTACTTTCCGGGGTTCTCTTCTAGGGTTGGACATGTTTCTGCACACTATGCTAACTACGTGAGCAATGTCTAGTCGGGTGCACACCATGCCATACCTTCTGCCATCTCTATCTTTGCTTCTTTGATAGAACAATCTCTCTTGTTAAGCTTAAAGTGATTCACCATGAAGGAATGTGGTCTTCAAATAGAGTTGCATCAACTTGAGATCTAGGCTTGCCGCAAGACCAAACATTGCCCTTATAGGCGCCATCTTCACAACTTTTGCTACTTCTTTAAATGCTAACGTAGCACATAGGTGACACCTCTACTTCCAAAAAGTTTTGCTGCTACTTAATGAATGATTTGGTATCCGTGAAAATAAGGATCTTGGGGAAGTTTGATCAATAACCTACCCTATCTCTTGTGTGGACACATAAACATACATCCGAGTTTATGCACCGATCATGAAATTGTAAGTTTCATGGAACAATAATTTTATTCCATCTTAATTAATGGATAATGAAAACGCTACGGCTCAGGTATGCTCGGAAAACTATGCACGTGCCGTCATTACCATAAGTTTGTAAAATTATTTGATTTGAGTCTACCACCTACTCATGATACATATGATTTTGATTTTCCACATTTATCCTTATGTCCATAACATTTTTTAATGAAAATGATTATTAAAATGTTTATTGTGGTGAGAAAGAGAGGTAATTGCACTATGGTGTATATACCAATATTAGTAATATATTTTCAATTGCTATATTAGTTATTTCCTAGCAATATTTCTAATTGATATCCAAACAAAAACGTGAATGAAGAGAAAGAAGTATTGTTTCTACTACTTCCAAAAACGTGTGAAACAAGCAAAAGGAGTATTGCTTCTTCTACTTCATACTTCATAATTTTTGAAGTTACTTCTTTTATCTAATTCTTACTTCTAATACTTCTTGTCATGCCCTTAAGGCCTATTTGGTTGATAGGAAGTATTAGAAGTAAAAAGTAAATCAAATCTATTACTTCCGAAATTATGAAGTAGGAAGTAGCGGTAGTACTACTTTGTTTGTTTGTTTCGTGAATTTTTAAAAGTAGGGGAAATATGTTTCTTCCACTTCATTAACTTTTTTTGTTTGGTAGCAATTATAAATATTGTTAGAAAGAGAGAAAGATGATCTTTCAGAACTTTATTTAGAGTATGAGAATTTTCATATAATAGCAAAAATGATTTTATTCCAAAATTGATTCAATTTCATCTACTTCCAAGGTACTTTCGAGCCTTGAGGGGAGGAAAAAGATTCAAGAAGTTGAGATGACATGTAGGCACCACGTCAGCTTCTAAGGAAGTATCAGAAGTAGCTTTTTCAGAAAAACAAATATATTTTTCTTCTCGGAAGTAGCAGAAATAGCGTCTATTTCATGTACTTCACCTACTTCATAGCTACTTCCATGCAAACAAATAGACCCTTAGTCTTTTGTGTTCCTTCTCGGTGCAGAAGAAGCCATCTTTTCTTCCCTAAACCATCTGTTTATAAGTTTTAGAACATAATTTCTATGAAGTCTTGAAAACATCATCTCACTTGTAACTGATGCAATGACCATAGTCTGTTACACATTCTCCATTGAAATATAACGCATAAAATTATTACTCAACGTACTAGTCAAAATTTAACCATGAAGCTCGCCATTCTAAAGAAAAAAAATATAAAAGTCGAAAGATAGTGGACCATCAATTTCAAAACATTTAATTGGACAAAACCATAAAATTTTGGGGTTTTCCCCCGGTATTAGTCTCTTGACCTTAACATTTTGAAATTAGTCCATCAAATGATTGAAATTGCTATTAAGTTCCCGAACTCTTATATCTTGCTGTTGCTACTATGGATTGGAGGGATTAATTTGAAGCCACTTACAAGAATTAGGGGACCTAATATAAATTTCAATGACTCGAGGGGCAAACTTTTTCAAACAACTTATAAGAAATGGAGGACCCAATGGCAATTTCAATAATTTGTGGGACTAATTTCAAAATATAAAGAATTAAGGAACTAATTACTTGAGACTCCTTTAAGAAGAAGAGGCGAATGAAGGATTCAAACTTTAGGGTTTCTCACCGTTCCCTTCACACTCACGGCAAACAATGCTATTGGTCTTGGTACTCTGGTCATTCTCCGCGTTCTGCAACACCAAAACATCAAAATAATCACAAACCGGTACAAATTTACTTAGATTTCTCATTAAAAAAGCAATCATTAATCCTAAAGGTGCAATCTTTTGGGCACTGACCTGAGCCCTAAGGGGGCGAAGGCTGCGGGAACTGGAGATTAAGGAGAACCTGAGATGGGAGCTGGAGTTTCTCTGAGAGGAGACGACGGGGGCAGAAAGGGAACTTGAGGGTTTGTTAGGGGCAGTGATGGAATTTGAGCAGGCGGAGAACACTGAGCTCGCCATTTGAAGATGAGGAGAGAGGATGAGGGAGTATGGATTTTGCGGGGATGTCGAAAGAGGCGGAGGATTGAGATGAGGCAGGCTAATTTTCACTTTATTTACGGTTGCTACCACCGTGTTTTTTACACGAGTACCCTTCATGTGCTGCCGGTAACGGGTATTTTTACGAGGGTATATAAGACAATCTAGTTCACAGAGTTACGTGGCGGGGAAATGTAAAAAGCGGGAAGCCTTGAATTTATAGCGACTCTGGACTGCGGTTTACATCCATTTGTAGGACCAATTCTTTCGAACGCACGAAGCAACTATCGACCCCGGGGACTACGCTTCATTCGGTCTCCCTCCCATGCGTTCGTGAAAGCAAAACAAAACTATAAATTTTAAGGATAAATTGGCATCATCAAAAAATTTACCTCACCGATGTTAAATTGGCTCTTCTAGGTTATTATTGTGGTTCGCATCATCAAAAAATAGTAGCGAGTAAACAATTTGAGGTGTTGGGACAGTTTCCATGCAATTGACTTGGTTTGACAGATAACGGAAGTTCATAAGTATTTATTACATTTCAATTCACATAATGCAGGATATGAGAAGGAACAAATATGCATAAACACCACTAGAAGTCGTGTTTAGATAAGAGGAAAACATGGCAAGAAGGCGGAGTTGTAAAACGATAACAATCAACTTTGAGCATGTGAGAGTCTCTTATCTCTTTGTCAGAAATATACATGAACAAACCGAACTCGATTCGGAGGTGTATAGCTAATGTTTTAGCCATATAGAGTCAAAACAATCAGTTTCAGCAAAATACTCATCGATGTTTATTTTATGATCTTTTAATGAGTCTGCTACCATGTTCATTGATAAGAAGAGTCCTCATCGATGAATAGACACTTGCAAAGCCGAAATCAGAAAATACTCATTCATGAGTATTTATACTCATAGATGAGGCACGGTTATCGATGGGCACTCTCGCTTATCATTGAGCCTAGAGCCAACTTGCTTTTTGAGATGCAATTTCGAGATTTAGTATGAGCCATTCATCAAGGGACCTATGTAGCCTATTCTAGGGCTTTTTTGTTAGATATGAGGAGATAACTGCAGAGAGAAAGAGTCTCCATNGAGAGAATCTCTTTTAGGGTTTGAAGGATATTTCCACCATTGTCATCATCTCTTAGCCTCTGGATTTCATACACATCCTTGGAGTCTTTTACAACATCACATTGAATTCTTCGGGCAGCGCAGCCAGCCCTAGAATCGTCATCAATACCATTCTTTCATATTTTCATAACAAGTCATTCGAATGACACTTTCAACTTTAAAGAGCTGTAAGATTATTCTAATTGGGTTAACGATATTGTTTTCTTGTTGAGCTCTTTATACTATGATCATGTGTTCAATATTTGTTTGTGTTGGATTTTTTGGTCAAAACTGCTTTCCAAAATGAGTTTTCAAACTATATATATTTATTAACTACAAGTACTTTTCATAAATACTTAGTAGCCTAGTGGAAAGTTTATGTTTTGGTTTTTCAAAAGGTCCCTTGTTCGAGGCTTGCCAACGGCAAGTCGAGAAATATTTTATTTGAATTAATCCCTCATAAGTTCTAGTGGGTCGTGGGCCGGGGATCGGGGCTAATCGGACTGAGGCGTTAAGTGGCGCTTTGTTAGGCGCACTTTGACGAGGTTCGTCTGTCATACGAGGTTTGCCTGTTTGATAAGGTTCGCTCGATCGACGATGTTCGTATGTCATACGAGGTTCGCCTGTTTGACTATGTTCGCTCGTTCAACGAGGTTCGTCTATCATACGAGGTTCGCCTGTTTGACGACGTTCGTTTTTCAAATGAGGTTCGTCTGATTTGCTGAGACGTGACCCTCGTGTTTCGTAGCAACGCGTCTATTGATTGCCTCGTATTCAGCAGTTACTGCATGCAGCAGTTATAACAGCATTAAGAGCAATTTAATGTATTGATGTTATAATTTTAATTGTCATTAAGAATTGTAACGGTCACATTAATTGCTAGTGACTCTTGAGCTGGCCTTAGAGGCCTATAAATAGCGCCCTTGGGCAGCTCTTGGTTGAAGTTAAAAAAGCTGTCTGGCTGATCCGTGGAATACGAACGTCAGTATAGAATACGAACGTCGGAATATCCACACGAGCTTGGAATATGAACGTCAGATTGACGTTGTTGTTATGCTGTTGCTGCAGAAACTGTGCCCGCAGGAACCCTGAAACCGAAAGGTTTTGAACCGTAAGGTTCTGAGATCAAGGAGATCTTTTTCCTTGACCGAAAGGTCTTATAGATCGAGGAGATCTTGACAGTACTGAGTTGGTGCACATCAGAGTACTGTACTGCTATTCCTAAAAGCAGTTTGGCCTTGGGATTCTTGCACCGGAGTATGCCAAATATTACTTTAAGCACAGCGTTTCACAAACGCACAGTAGTTAATTAAAAAATTTAAAATAACAACACATCATTCTTCACTGTTCAATTCCAGATTTAACCTCAATTATTAACAATCTTAAAGCAATATTTCAGATCTACTAGGATCTTGCGAGGACTCTTGGAGTGGACTGTCTCAAGTTAAAAAAAACTTTGATGGATCTAACTTTAACGCATGGTGTCGAAAAGTAATTTTTGGGATGCAACTCTTAAAAATCTACTATGTGGTTTCTGAGGAGAAACCTGACTTTGAAGAAGACTCAGAGTCTGAAGCCTCTTGGGTTAAAGATGATCATTTCTGCAGGAGTTATCTCCTTAACTGTCTGGCTGATCATCTGGCAGATGCTTACACCAATAAACCCTCTATAAAGGAAATCTGGAATGCTCTGGAGGAGCAATACAAGGATGAGGAGAAGCTTTCTAAGTCTCACCTCATTGACAAGTTTCTTGACTTCAAGTTTGAAGATGACACTGAGGTTTTGCCTCAAGTCAAAGAACTCGAAAAGCTTGTTATGAAGCTGAAGGATGAAAAGACCAGTCTTTGTCAAACCTTCATTTTTGGTATAATTGTCAACAAGCTTCCTCCATCTTGGATCCCACTTAGATCCCTTCATCTAAACCTGTACGTCACCTTTTTCAACAATACTGCAAGGCTTGTTATCCCCCAAATATACTTTCCCAAAGTCCCCTACTACATAGTTCTGGAGAAACTTCCTATTAGCAGTGGCATGGACTGAGGCTCCTGAGTTAATAATCCATGAATCAGAATCACTGTTGTTTGTGAAAAAATTCGATGTAAAAGAAACGAAAGAAAAATTGATCTGTATTCTCTCAAAATCGATTACAATTGAATTCCGATTACAAAAGAGAGGAGAATGAATTTGATTCTCCCCTTTGTTTAAAACTGGGTTCTTCAAGGTAGCGATGGAGTGCCTCCTTCGATTGTTCACGTCGAATTTGCTCTCCGTTGACGATCCGACCGTCTTTTATCTCGTGGGAACGATTAACTTCTGTGGAAAGTTTGATGGGTAACTCTTTAACGAGTTTAAGAACTCTGAACGAGTTAGAACTCTGTGAATAGAGTTGTTAGAACCGAAGATTCGGTTAATGACCAAGCATATATTCTGTTGTTGAAGAATCCTTTCAGATTTGATCTTCTGAACTCGATTCAAAAATCCTATCTCCAAGGATTTCATCTCCCCTGCCTCTCTGTGTGGTTAAGATCCTGAAGAACCTCCAAACCCGTGCAGTTTAGATGCTAAAAATCCCACCATCTACTCCTTTGGGTTTGTTGAGTTTTTATAGGGGGATAAGAGGTTGTAACTGCCCTCTAAATCTGCTCCTAAGTGGGCATGATTTCCTCAGATCGTGGGGAAAACGGTTCCTACAACCGTTCAGCTCGTGTTTGAACAAGTCAAATGCCCACGTTGGTGTTCAGGACCCTAACTCCGCATTTTAGACTAGAGACGCGGAGTTGGGTACCCACTGGGCATTGAAAAAATGCGGGTCCGACCCTAGCGTTTTAATGTTGTAACGCGGGTCCGACTCCAGCGTTTTGATGTTGTAACGCGGGTCCGACTCCATCGTTTTGATGTTGTAACGTGGGTTCGATCCTCGCGTTTTACTGTTGACACACGGGGAGGACCTCCGTGTTTTGGTGTTGATACACGGGGAGGACCTCCGCATTTTGGTCTTAGAGCGCAGTGATGAGTTTCGCGTCTTGCTTTGGAGAGATTATTAACAAGTAATCTCTTTTATCATAGCGTTGCAAAGATCATTGTCTTGTAATCTTTGTCTTGGCTCCTTGAGAATATGAGAGTCGTCAGATTGTAACTCCCGATGTTGATTGTGAATGCTGTTGAACTAGAGCTCTCATCGGTTGTCGTGAAGGTCGTCAGATTGTAACCTTCAGCGATCTATGTGAAAGTCTTCAAATTGTAGCCTTTTGAAAGTCGTCAGATTGTAACTTCCATCATCGGTGTTTGATGGGGGATAAGCTATCTATTGTGATTTTTAGACAGCCTACAGAACCCCCTCCAAAGTTTTTGAAAGTTCGCGGTTGACTGGGATGAATTTTCGGAATACTTTGGATCTCAACTCTGATCCTGGAGCTGTTGATTCCTTATTGTAAAGGAGTCGTTCTCTGCACTCGCTTCGAAGGTATCTTGGTTGAAGGGATTTGCCATGTAGGACCTGTGTGAAGGTATGCGCCATAATCCTGCTTCTGGAATGTTAGGGTGTATCCCTACGTTTTGAACTTGAGACGCGCGTCTCACCCTTGCATGTTGAATTTGGAACACGGGTATGACCTCGGCGTTTGGTTTTTGCATCGCGGGTCTGACCTCAGCGTCTGACCTCCGCGTTTGGTTTTTGCATCGCGGGTCTGACCTCAGCGTCTGACCTCCGCGTTTGGTTTTTGCATCGCGGGTCTGACCTAAGCGTTTGGTTTTTGTGTCGTAGGTCTGACCTCAGCGTTTTGACTTAAGACATGGAAGTGGCTTCCGTGTATTTTTGACTAAGTCTTTGAGACTTGTCTTTAGCTCATCTGTTTCAAGTCACAGCTCACATCCATTAAGCTAATGAACCTACGAACATGCATAGGATTTTTAGCAAACCCTCAGTCATCAACGGATT